AGAAAAGAATAAAAGGTAAAATAAAAATGCCCATACTCTCACCATCCAGAAATTACTATTGTTAATACATAAAATTTTATTTTTATAAATTTGACATCATACTGGACATATTGTTTTATTTCCTGTGTAGTTAATATTTACATTAGCATTTTCTCATGTCATTTGAAATTGCACAAGTCAACATGGGTGAATTTGTCTTTAGCTTTGGTGTAGGGAAAGGCTTTCTAACTGTGACTCAAATTTCAAATGTAATTTAAAAATTGGCAAATTTTACTAGATTCAAAAAAACTTTTGCAAAGCAAAAAAAATTTTTAAAAAATATAATTATCACGTACCTCCTAATCTGATGTACTAAGAAAGACACAGTATCAGTTTTGGTGTTCTTGCTAAAATGCATAACCTGAACTCAATCATGAGGTAACCTTAGAAAAATCCAAATTGAGGAATGTTCTACAAAATAAATGGTCTATACTCTTCAAATATACCAAGATCATAAAAGAAAATCAAAAACTGAAGAGCTATTCAGACGAAAGAAGACTGAACACACCTGTCAACCAAATTAAACATGTGATCTGGGAGTCTGAATGAAAAATTTATTTATAAAGGACATGTGTGAGACAATTGACTAAATTTAATTTCTTTTGTTTTTCAGACAGAGTGTTGCTCTGTTGCCCCTGGTAGAGTGCTGTGGCATCATCATAGCTCACTACAACCTCAAACTCCTGGGTTCAAGTGATCCTCCTGCCTCAGCCTCCCGAGTACCTGGGACTACAGGTGCGAGCCACCATGCCCGCCTAAGTTTTTCTATTCCTTGTAGAGATGGGGTCTCCCTCTTGTTCAGGCTGGTCTTGAACTCCTGACCTCAAATGATCCTTGGTTTCCCATAGTGCTGGGATTACAGGTGTGAGCCACTGTGCTCAGCCTGAATGTGGTCTGTTGATGTTATAATAGTACTGCATCGATGGCACTTTCCTGATTTTGGTCCTTGTACAGAGATTACGCAAAGAATGTCCCTGTTTTCAGGAAATACACACTGATGTATTTAGAAGTAAAGTGGCATTAAGTCTGTGACTTATTCTCAGAAAAATATACCTGTATATGAGGGAGAGATGATATTGCAAATGTGGTAGCATGCTAACATTTGGGGAATCTGGGTGAAAGAATGCAGGTGTTCTTTGTTTTTTGAACCTTTTCTTGAATCTGAAATTATTCAAAATAAAAAAATTTTTTTTTTAAAAGGAAACACTTGGGAAATGTCAGTGTGCAACTTGAAATTCTTAACAAATATACTCTGCAGATGTGAAGAACAGAGATGCAGAAAGGAGGACGCCCAGGACGGGGAGGTAGAAAGGAAACTGGGTGGAGAACAAATAGAAAGTCCAAGGCACAAGGTCCTAATCGCTCTGTGGCAAGCTGCTTCCTGAGAACTCACTGGCACCACATGTTAGAAACATCTGCTTCGTGGCTGACCCCTCCCCAGCTGTTCTCGCTCGGCACTCTCCTGCCAGCTGCATAGGCCTTTAACACTGTCCCTGCAGCTGGCAGGACAGACTGTCCTAGGACACACAGGGTCCCTGTCTGCCTGACACTCTGTAGTCTGTGACCGACACAGATATGTAGCACTCATGTCACAGTCTAGAAGGGAGTCTCATCAACAGAATTATCAGAGAGAAAATAATGTACGAGCTGGTCCAACACTTAGGAGAGCACGAGGGGCCGTTCCTAATACTGCATTCCCTGACCTCTTTCGTCATTCTCAGCCGTCACATTGACACCACGTCAGAGCCCTAAGAGGAAGGAGAATATAAAATCTGTGATAACCTGAGTGTGCCAGAAAAATCCAAGAAAAAGAATCGCATGTATTAACCTGTTTTCCCTTCCTAACTTGTACCTGGAGAAGAAACTACAGAGAGAAGGCAAGAAATGAAAGTCTTCCCCCAAGATAAAACTTTTCCTCGAGGTCTGTGAAGTTCACTCTGTGGCGAAGGCTGACATAAATAAGTAAGATGTGTGGAATCAACACCAGGGGTCACTCAAGTATTTGTGGTTTTTCCCACCATAGGAAAAAACCCACAAATAATTTCTAAATAGCATACTATTAATAGGTAGTAGTTACCTCTTTTAGGCTTTTGAAAGATTCTTTTATTGTATATTTGCTGATACTTTGGGTGGGGAAAGACATGGGAAACAGTTTGGTGGGGGTTTTATTTATTTTTGAAAATGTAGACTTTCCCCTAGAGTGCCGTGGCGTCATCCTAGCTCACAGCAACCTCAAACTCTTGGGCTCAAGCGATCCTACTTGCCTCAGCATCCTGAGTAGCTGGGACTACAGGCATGCGCCACCATGCCTGGCTAATTTTTTTTCTATATATTTTTAGTTGTCCAATTAATTTCTTTCTAATTTTAGTAGAGATGGGGTCTCGCTCTTGCTCAGGCTGGTTTCGAACTCCTGAGCTCAAACAATCCGCCTGCCTCGGCCTTCCAGAGAGCTAGGATTACAGGCGTGAGCCACCGCGCCCAGCCTTTTTTTTTTTTTTAAAGATGGTTTTAATTACTTCACCAACAAGATTAATGGTTAGCATTATTTACTCACATAATGAAGAACTAAGGCTAAATTCTAATGTCTTAGGGATAAAAACCTTGCCACTTAAAGTATTTCATGATCCACAAAGCAGTGATAAAAGGTCTACCAAACAGACATTGTACAATTTATTTAGAGAAACAGTATTTTGTGAAGATCAACATGAATGGGGGTGGGGAGGGAAGTTACCTGAATTTATTCTTCTGTTTCTTTCACTAGGAGATGGAGAACTTTCTGGAATGGTTCCGGGTAAGTTTCCCATTTGGGCTTGTTTCAGGTCCTCTGCATTATCCACAGTACCCTTGGGTAGTGCGGCTTCCACGTGGGGGCTGCAATTCTCCCCGGAATGAGTTGCAGCGACATCAGCCTGTGAAAAGGGAACAGAGTCTCAAGGTTGCTTGGAAAATAAACACAACGCTGCAGGGTCTGCCTGGTGACTCTCCAGCCAACCAGCATCTGTGGTAGGCTGAATGGTACCTAGGAACCTGTAGATGTTATCTTACATGGCAAAATAGCAGGTGTGATTAAGGCTCTCGAGATGGCAAGATTATCCTGAATTGTCCGGGTGTCCTTATAAGAAGGAGACAGAGGGAGATTTGACTACAGGAGAGGACTGGGTGATACAACAACAGAAGCAGAGACAGATTTGAAGATGTTAGGGTGCGAGAGTTGAAGATGGAAGGGGCTCGAGCCAAGGAATGTAAGGAATACAGATCTAGAAGCTGGAAAAGGCAAGGCAAGGATTCCTGGCCCAGAGCCTCTGAGAGGAGCCAGCTCTGCCGTCATCCTGACTTTAGCCCTGTGTGACTGCTTTTGGATTTCTGACGTCCAGAACTGTAACAGAATACATCTGTGTTGTTTGAAGCCATTAAATTTGTGTTAATTTGTTACAGCAGCAATAGAAAACTAGTATAATATCTAATATGAATTTACCAGGTACAAGTTACCACGCTGAGCATTCTGGAGGATACCAAGATAAACAAGTTCATAATCATCAAATGTGAAAGTAGAGGGACTATAGTATTTTTTAAAGTTTTTTTTTAATGAAACTATATTGTTTTTTCTGATTAAAAAAGTAATAGTGGCCCAGTGCGGTGGCTCACACCTGTAATCCCAGCACTTTGGGAGGCTGAGGTGGGAGGATCACTGGAGCCCAGTTCAAGGCTGCAGTGAGTTAGGATTGTGCCACTGCACCCTAGCCTGGGTGACAAAATGAGATCCTGTCTCTAAAAACAAAATAAAACAAAAAAATAAAAAAAACTAATACAAACTCATTGTAAAAATAATTAAATAATATAGAAGGAAATGGTGATGGTCAGTTTTATGTGTCATCTGGGCTAGGCAACAGCAGCCAGTTACTGAGGTTTTTTTTTTTTTTTTGAGACAGGGTCTTGCTCTGTCACCCTGGCTAGAGTGCAGTGGCATCATCATATTAATAGCTCACTACAACCTCAAACTCCTGGGCTCAAGAGATCCTCTTGCCTCAGGCTCCTGAATAGCTGGGACTACAGGTACGGACCACTACGCCCAGCTAATTTTTCTATTTTTTATAAAGATGGGGTCTCACCCTTGCTCAGCCTGGTCTTGAACTCCTGGCCTCAAGAAATCCTCCCATCTTGTCCTCTCAAAGTGCTTGCACACAAATGTTCATGATTATTATTTATAGTATCCAAAAAGTAGAAATGATCCAAATGTCCATTAACTGATGAATGGATAAATAAAATGTGGCCTAGCGAAAGAAAGTAATATCATTTGGCAATGAAAAGATATTAACTACTGACACATGTTGCAACATAGAGGATACCTGGAAACCAGAAGTCAGCGAAAGAAGCCAGTCCCAAAGACCATTCACTCTCAGAATGGGCAAATTTATAGAAGCAGAAGATAGATTTAGTTGTTGCTTAGGGAGAAATTGAGATTGCTAATGGGTAGCCATTTCTTTATAGGGGGCAAAAAATATTCTCAAATTAGATTGTGGTGATGGTTGTCAATTGTACATTTTAAATGGGTGCTATGGTTTGAATATGTCCCCTTCAGAATTCAGATGTTACCAATGTGATAGTATCAAGAGATGGGGCCTTTAAGAGATGATTAGGCCATGAGGGCTTCTCCCTTGTTAATGGGTTAAGTCCTTTATAAAAGAGGCTTCCCACAGCCTTCAGCTGGCTTGCTCTTCCAATCCTCTGCCATGTGAGACACAGAAGAGCAGCCCTCACCAGACAACCTAACCTTCTGTTGCCTTGATCTTGGACTTCCCAGCCTCCATAACTGTGAGAAATAAATTTCTGTTCTTTACCCAGCCCGTGGTATTTTGCTATAGCAGCACAAACAGACTAAGACAATGGGTGAATCATACAGCATGTGAATTATATTTCTATAAAGCTGTTTAAAAAATAAACAGAATTATATATTAAATGATATATTTCTGCAGCATGCTTTTTCCATTAACAACATATCAGAGACATTTATCTACTTCAACATATATAGGTCTACCTCATTCTATTTAATGGTGAGGAGTAGTCACTTATTTGACGATTGCATTGTAGTCCATTATGTAACTATACCACAATGTATTTAACCAATTTCTACTGAAGGACATCTCAGCTGTTTCTAACTTTTTGATACAACAAGCAGTGCTGGAATATCTGTGCATATACGTCAGTGTGATCCACCCAGTCATTCCATGAGAATGAATTCCTAGATGTGGACATGGTGGCTCAAAGGATATGCACATTTTATATTAGAATGTGTTTCCAGAGGGCCTTCCATAAATACTGCACTAGGTCACAATCCCACCTTCTCCTTTCAAGAGTGTCTATTTCTTCATATCGTAATTCCATTGCTTGTGTTAATACATAGGTCAAAACACAGTGTAAAAATCTGTGATTTAATAAACCATTGAGGACAAAATGCTTGTCTATGTCAAATTTTTCACAGTTCCACAGCAAACGAAGAAAATAAAAAAAAATGTAATGAGTTTTTCATAAAGCTAAGTTAATTCAATTTAAAGAACTGTCATTTATTTTGAGAGTAAGTACATTTTACATGTTAACATGTTCAGAAAAACTTTTCTCATATCCCCTCTAACTACCACGTCTCCTTTCTCCTGGTGTGGAGCCATCTTTCATTGCTGGGGTTGCAACTTTCCCACTTCTCCTTTTAATGGGTGTTATCAACTTCTCCATCTATGACACGCATACCAGAGGAAACCTCCTCAGTGTCCCCAGGAGAGATAAGAACATAAGCATCTTCCACTGAGTGTTGTCTTCTGGGGATTCTTCTTAAGTCTGTTGATTTTACTTTTTGGCCCAAGTGGTGCTCTTCTACTCCCTGAGTCTTTGAAGGGTCTCAGGACCCTGCCTTCCACCTCCCACTCTTTGCAGGACAGCCCTGCTGTATGTGACACAATCTTGTGTCTTATTGTGGGCAGCACAAGATGTTAAAGAGGAGAAGACGCTTGAGCTGGGTCTTGAATGCATTTCCAGTGGACAATGAGAGAAGGGCATTCTAGATGCAGAGAAAAGCATACACGAGAGAGGAACATGAAACCTATTGTGTGTCCAGGAACGTGAACTATTCCAGAGTAGTGGAAACAGACTGAGGTAGAGTGGAAGGTGCTGAGTTGGGAAGGGGAAGTCTTTTCTGACAAGTAAAAGAGATCGATTTGTTTTAATGCAACAGGAATCCTTCATGGGATTATTATCCATGGAAGTAAAATAAATTCACCAGGTGTGTTTTGTAGAAAGGTCACTCTTGGGTTAGTGAAAGTGATGGAAACAGAAGGAAGGAAGGGACATAACAGGGTGGCCAGTTATAATTACTGCAATTGTCCAGGTGAGATTTGATTAAACATGAACTAGGACAGTGGCAGTGAAAATAAGGGAAAGAGATGGGTCCAGAAATATTAGAAAGGCAGAGAACCGACCTCTCGGATCCTCAGTTTGAAGAAGGGAGCCCCCATTTGGCTCTAAAATTATGACTCTAGGAACTGTGCAGAAGACATTCCCGTTAGAAAAGCTAAATAAAAAATAGGATATTGGCATGAAACTCTTGGCGCTTTTACAGTAAAAATCATACAAACTTTAAAAAAATATAAGCACATTTGACCACTTTCTGGAATTACTCCAAAATTCGAAGTCCCTTAGAGGCTAGGTAGAAATGGCAATGGCAAGCTTATAGTGGCGCCGGTCATGATCAGGTTTCCATAATTGAGTTAGGGGTTCTTGCCCGTTCCTAGCGGGTTTTACCTAGCTCCTTATCACTGTGTTTAGATAAAATGATCACTCCAGCTAAGCCAACATCAGTTCGTTGTGTTGGGGGTTAATTAGTTCTGTGGCTCAAGACTACATGGGGAAAACATGAAAAACCAACCAACCAAACTCACAAGTAAGCAAACAAAAACCCGGTGTATCTGAATGAAATAGGAATCAGAACAAGGAGAAAGCCTAAAAGCATCTACATCCTTTTCTCTTTCTCCCTCCATCTGTCTTTCTTCATAGACACAGTCACTACCCACGCAGTCCCTGTAGAGTAAGTGGGCCGGGGAAAAGTCTTTCCACACAACATATAACATATGTATTACATTAACATATATATTTGTTACATATAACAAAGGAAAAGGAAACCTTGATGCTTTTCTTTCAGAAACTCACAGTTCATACTGAAGGTAAAGGAGCAAATCATGTTAAGCGTTCTTTCCTTTCTTTCCAAAAAAACTATTAAAAGTCAATATCTGCAGTGATAGTAAGACAAGTATTTTCACAAGTTAATTTTGTTTTGCAGATCCATCATTTTTTGATCCTAGTAAAGCACTGAGTCACACACAGGGACTAACTTTGTCATTTAACATTTCCAAGTAAAGATCCTGGAAAATTTAGTTGATTTAATAACAGCAGCAACAACAAAATGCCTGCATTGGAATTAAGGGCAAACTTGAATTTTTTCAGTCTAAGAAGTGGGTTTTCACAAAGACATTCTGTAATTTGCAACTTGGAATAGATTTAAATATCACAACCCCGAATGATCTCACAATTGTTTCATCAAAGCTACTTTAACTACCGGGATTTAGAATCCAGGCCATAGCAAGGATCTCTACCTGTCTGTGCTTATTTAGAGATTTAAGCCCTGTTATTGACCAAAACTTAAATTGCTGCAGGTGAAACACAATCTCTTAGCATAAAACAACACAAACCAGCCTTCTGTTTCCAGAGCAGGAATTTAAGGTTCTTCCCTTCTGAAAACTAAGAAGGTCTCCCAAGTATCTTATCTATGTGCAACACATTCGGGAAATTTTAGCCCAAATTCATAACGTAGATTTGAGAATAGACATAGCTCAAAGACCAGACAGATTTACAAATTAATTAAATCTATACTTCTTGGGGATATGCCCAACAGTGTTCTTGTTCTAGATATGCATGTGGAGTTTACATTTCCACATCACTGAGAAGTATACCTGCATTATACAAATAATAATGGTACTCTGGCAGGGGGCAGGGCGGTGAGTGGAGGTTTTATTTTTTCTTTGAGATAAGTTGTAACAAACAAACAGATTCAACGTGTTTCTACATTTTGTATCAACTCTATTTTTATACCTCAGTGTCTTGGGGATAAAATTTTATCAATTTTAGACAGAATTAAAAAGTTGTCAATTCCAAGCTACCAGCTATGCACAGGAATGATCAGCATTCCAAAAAAGGTATTGCTTTTAACTATAAATAGGTGGGTTTTTTGTTTGTTTGTTTGTTGTGGGGTTTTTGTTGTTGTCATTGTTTGGTTTTCGGTCTGGATGTACTACATGTGTTTTATAGCTTTTGGGAAACGTACTTGTCCAACAGCTGGGAAGGAATAATTTGTCGAGGCTCCCTCGAGCTAAAGTCTTCCTAAATCAAATTATTAGCAGATGCATTTTATAAATATATTTGTCTATGAACATAAAGGAAGAATCGATTCTGCAAAATTTGATTTTTTTCTAGTTTAATTCTCGTAAATGTAATAGTAAATAGCAACTCTCTAAAAGCACTCAGAAATATGATTGTTTTAAAAGGTGGACTTTAAGAAGTAACTCCTTTTACTGACAATCAAGAATTTTCTTTTCAGATATTAGCAAAAAACTGTGCAGGGTCTTTGGAGATTGTCCATTCCAATCTAGCCTCTCCTTTTATAACAGGCAAGGAATTTCGAGTTATTCATCTAGAAGGAGAGCATTTCTCCAACTAAGAGAAGTTTCCCATACTTTTCTTGTTATTATGCATTATTTTATTACAATGTCTTCTTGCCATTTTCGACTAAGGTAAAAGTGAAGAGAAAGTCTGTAGACAGGTCTCAAGAAGTTTAATTCAGAATATTTTGAAGTCTTGCCTCTAAGAAACATAAATATTTCATGCAAGCAAACATATTCATTTCATTTTAAAGACACTGCTGAACTACTGAACTCTAAGCCTTATACATTTATGAAAGTAGTGAAAGCATTACTATTCTGATAGCTATAGAGTGCTTAATTAATAATAATCATACATTTCCCAGATCAGATTTTCAAAGTCAAGTGCTTGGGGCAGGGAAAGGTATATGCATGAGTCGACTCTGAGACTATTTTCAGGTTATTTTAATATTGAATTTCCACCTCGCAGACTGTCATTAGTCTAGTTATGCTTCTAGGAGACAAAAAGACTCTAAGGAATTTTGGAACCGGGAGGGACGTGCAGTCACTCAAGAAATATTCACTAGTGCCTGCTGCGGATCGGTATAAGGCAATTAGTAAGCACTGGAAACACACAGATTAAAAAACAGGTCCTGTTCCCAAGGAGGTAACAGCTCAGGATGGGAGGCAAACATGGAAACAAATAAATACAACAAATTGTTTTGAAATGTGATAGGAGCAGGTATAAGATCCCCTCTACCAGCATGGTGGCAGGGGCAGGGGAGAGGAGGAGGGTGTCAGGAAGAGCTTATGGAGGAGCAGGCTTGAGTGCCTGGAAAGACAGGTACCCATTTGTCATGTGCCCCAGGAGAAGGAGAAGGAAATGTCTGAAAGGAGAGAAAACAGTGAGTACAATGGCACCACGATAGGAATGGAATGGGCTTAGAGAACAAGCCGTAAGGTTTGCCTAGAATGTGAGCTGAGGGGAGAGATGAAACTGGAGAAGTTGGCAGGACCCAGCTCAAGGATAGGATAGGATGGCATGCTATATAAGGATTTAGGATTTTATCTTATAATAATCATTGTAATAACTTATATTAAGCACTTATTCTGCACCAGGCTTTGGTACGAGCACTTCACCTGTATTGAATTCATTTAATCCTCACAACGACTCTAAAAAATGAGTACAGTCGTCCCTAAGTATCCATGGGAGATTGGTTCCAGGGCCTCCCTCAGGTACCAAAATCCATGGATGCTCAAGTCCCTTATAGAAAATGGCATAGTATTTGCATGTAACCTATACACATCCTCTCATATACTTTGAGTCATTTTTAGATTACTTAAAATATCTAATACAATGTAATTTCTATGTATATAGTGATACTGGCTAAGGAAAAAACTAATAAGAATTTTTTTTGAATATTTTTGATCTGAGGTTGGTTGAAGCCATTAATGTGAAACCCACGGATACAGAGGACCAGCTTTATATATTGTTATTTCCTTCTTTTAACAGATAAGGAAACTGGGGCATAGTGAGGTTAAATAACTTGAGCAAGGTCACACAACTAATAAATAATAAATCCTAAAATCAAACCTAGGTCATCACATTCTTGACCATTGGTTTATGTGCCCACCTAATAAGTTGGTGGCTTTTTTTTTTAATAGAGGACTGATATATCAGATTTTATTTTAATGTGATCACTCTGGAAAATCAGCAGAGAAAGGATTTAGGGAGAGCAGTTATGAGACATGTACAAAAACCCAGGCCAGAGGTAATGACTACCATACCCAAGAAATTCCGAAAGAAACCCAAGAACCCTCCCAGACCTTTCAGTGGCTTGGCTCAGAGGGCCCTAGTGGATTTGACACTTGGCGAGGATTCCTTTTTAGCATTTCATCCTGGTCTGTACAAAGAAATGATTTTCAGTAATAACCATGTGATGGAATAAATGATAATGGCTGGAAAAGAAACACAAATAGTGAAAATTTTCTTCTACTAAAGTCTTATACATAACCATGCCAGTGACATATACAAAAAAGAAAGATTTTTGTATGAAAAGGAAAAAAGAATGATGGATTAATATTTTTAAATGACATTAATGTATTTTTGAGAAAAGGGAGAAAAAAAGTGTTCCTACATATTAGTCCAGAGCAATAATGAACAATAACAAAGATGACCAAAGTGTTCCCAAGAAGTCCGTAAATCTAGGAGGGAGAAGGACCTTTAAGCAAACATTTTCCAGGTGGCAAGGGAGCGTCACAGCAGTCATCTCCCGGCTCAGTATTGAAGGATAATAGGAGTTCAGCAGGCTGACTGGGGAGATGACCCAGCGAGGTCATTCCCACAGGAGGGACCCGCCCTGGAAAAGGCATGGAGGCATGAGAAGCCTGGGAGAACAGAGCCCTGACAGTCTTTTGGCTTGGCAGACCCACAGGTGACAGGCACTGGCAGCAGAGGAGAGGATGACATTAGACGGAAAGGACGGGACCAAATTGTAGAAGGTCGTGCACACTACAAAAATTTTTTCTTGGGAAGATGGGTGGTACTGGTGGTGGGGTAGACTGGTGAGGGTGGTGACAGGAAAGGCACAAAGACTTGGTACGTGGCAATGGGCCCAGAAAAAACACAGACAGTGGCAGCTTTGGGATGGAAAGCAGAAAACAGTGTTAAGACAGGTGGTCATTTGGGCGCAGGCTTCCCCCAGGGCCAAGTAATAAGTCTGGAGTCTCAGCCTTTATTAGACTCTGGTCTGCCTGCTTCTTAAATGTACTCCAAGAGCCCAGCAGATGTGCCCCACATGTGGTAGGTGCTGTAACTGGGACCTAATGTGTCCTGCACAGAGCCTGCTGAGACAAAGCGCATGGTGTTTAAACAGTAGCTCCAAAAATGCCCTTTAGGAAAGGCGGCCATAAGTCCCAGTTTGCTGGGTTTCAGCCAGACTGTCTGGGAAAATTTATTAATAGTGTTCCCTTTCATTCGTAACAGTATGATTGTGATTATAAATTATATGCAAGCCCTATCTTTGGGTAACCCCTCTGAAATGGACCCTTGAGGGTCCCTAGCTCTGTTTATAAAATCTTGAGAGTAGTAAAAATGGGAAAAAATCCTGGCTCTCATTTCTGTCTCAACCTACCCATCCCTCCATGCCCCACTCTGGGAAAAGGTCCCTTTAGTGTCTCCAGAAGAATTACAGGGGATGCAGCCTCGACGGACAGTGGAAGGAGTATTGGAACGAGACTCTCGAACACTAGATTCTCCTCTAGCTCCGCCCCCAAACAAGCTGTGCCGCCTCGGGCGCGATGTCCCCCTCTCTGGGTCTCAGGGTCCTCATCTATCAATTGAGAGAGGACGCAGCTAGATGGCCTCTGAGATCTCTCTAGCTCTAAGTAAGTAACTACCAAAGGAGCCATTCTCCACGAGCCAAAAGTACTTGGCAGTTTCCAGGAACACTCACCTTCCCCGGAGAATCACGGCCACCCCAGCTCTGTGCAGAACGCACGGCTCATCCTGTTACCCCCGCCTCTGCCCTGGGGTGCGGACCACCTTCGCAGGCTCCTTAAACACAAAGGCTCTGGAAACCGGTGCTGGTAGAATAAATTTATATACAAACACATATATGCACATATCTGTGCATATCTCTCTATCGATCTGTATTTCCTGGTTAAGACAGCAGTTAGACAGCGGCAGAATGAAGTTGCTCTCACCTTGTCCTCTCCACTCCCCACCTACTAGGGGGCTGCGAACCCCGGACCACCCTGCTCCAGCGGACCCCAGCCGCCCCCAAGCGCCAAATGCTTTATGTCTCTTTTTCCGTTATTTATTTTTTTATTTTTCTTTTCTTTCCTTTTTACTTTTGTTCGTTTGTTTCTTTGTTTTACCTTGCATCCTTCTTCCCAGCCCTTCTTGGGCGCGGGGACGCGGCTCCGGTCTCCAGCGGGCTGGGAAGGGCGGCAGCCCATGCTGCGCCCGCCGCTCCTCCTCGGCCGCTTCGCCGCCTGCGCCCCGGCGAGCGCTCCCTGCCGGGCCGGCCGGGTCCCGCGCCCCTGCCCCTGCCCTGCCCCTGCCCTGCCCCTGCGCCTGCCCTGCCCTGCCCCTGCGCCTGCCCTGCCCTGCCCCTGCCCCTGCGCCTGCGCCTGCGCTTCCGCGCCACCCGCTTCTCGCACCTCCCGCACCTCCACCCTCGGCGGGACGCGCTGGGCATCTGGGCAGTTGCCGCGAATGGTTGCCACAATAAACTGCGTCACGCGGACCTGGCACCTGGGCGGCGATGGGACTTTTGTAAACTTGGAACTGGAAGATTCGAGGCGTCTAAATGGCAGCTAGGATGCAAACTGCAGCCCTCTCCAGAGCAGGGAGGGGAGGGGAAGGCTCACTGCCTGGCCAAGTTCGTTTTAAACGTCCCGGAGTCTAAGCATCCTGCGGGTTCCTTATTTTTTTCCTTTGTGAGGCACCGCGGGACACGCCCCTATTCCTGGGGCCTGGGCTTGAGCTGTTTTCAGACGCTGTGGGGACTGTGTGGAAGGCGACGCAGGTGTCCAGTCGGTGGGGACCGCTCTTGAGGGCGGGTGGCCAAAGTGGACGCAGGGGGGGACGGCCCCAGAAGGCAGTGGCACACGACAACCTCGGAAAGGATAGTCACACAAACAGAAACCCATACAATGACGAACACCAGACGTTTAGGCCTGTAAACACCTCAAATCACGCAAACCGTTTTTAGGGAAGGTGCATTTTATGAGCGGTGACATTGTAAGGAAAAAACACCGCTAAGCATATTGCTTGCAGAGAATTAAATAAAAATGGTGTAATCCATCGAAAAAGGCAGACCAGGAAGACTGCTCGAATGTGCAACAAGTTTTTCTTTCCTCCATTTTTTTCTTTTGATCTGTTTTTCAATTTATTATTACCATTTTTTTAATTTTTGAGAATTAAAAAAGGAACTGAAAGGGATCTTAGAGATCTTCTATTAACCCTTGTTTATACAGGCTGCAAATTTAGGCTCAGTGGAGTTGAGCGACTGTTCCAACACCCCAGGGAACTAGTTAATGAGGGAGCTGGGTGAGGAACCAGGTGGCCTGATTCAGTCCCTCCACGTATCCACAACACAATGAAAATCCAACTAAGGATTCTTGAAAATGTAAAAATCCTGGATCCTTCGAAGGAAACTAATGGTCAGCTCTGTTATAGGAAGCTGATTATTTACAGTGTTTAAACTCATTTCACACTGTCTCCCTCTTGCTGGATGTTGCCATCAATTTTTCTTTTGTTAAAATTGAAGAAGAGGAAAGATGAGATGAAACTCAAGTCAAAGCATAATTACAGAGCAACAAACATTAACGATTTATGAATGAAGAGTTGAAACAAGGCTAAAATGCTGTCTGGGGAACATCTCTGAAAGTATTAACTGATGAGTGTAATAAGTCATATGAAATGTTCCAACTAGAAACTGGAAAATTCTCAACTAGAATAATACAACACTAAGGACACCTATAAAATGTTCTTTAGAAAGTTTAATGGATGTTTGTAGAATTGTAAGAGTGATGTACTGCACACAACTTTTTTTTTTTTTATCTTTTAAGACTTTCTGTGAATAGACGTTTGCTATAAATGAATGAGGTGGTTCCCAAATGTGTTGTGCAGGTATCTTCTGGAGAATCAAAGTTGTGAAAGTCCAAAGTTGTGAAAAATGCCCTTTTTCTAGGGGCATTGCTAGGGCCAGCTAATACTGGCTGATGAGAGCTGATCATCAGGAATATTTGGACCCAGTTATTAAGCAATTATTAAAATTAGATGATATAAACTTACAATTAAATTACTTAGGTTAAAAACAAAGGTAATAAATACAACCACATTTTGAGTAGCAAGGGTGTAGCACACCTCTGAATATTCGATCATTCTTCCAAAACAAAGTAAAAAGGAAAAATGGAAGGAAGGAGAAAGAAGTGACAGAGAAAATGATCATGAAGAATTAAGATGAAGTCCATTAGACAATCAAGGATAGAGGAAAAGAAACATTGGTCTCATTTTATGAAGGCATTTTCAGTCTAGGAAGACCTCTATGCATAAACTACAATGAGGAGCCCCGATGTTATCTCAGCTTCTTATCCCTCTTTCCTGGTAGAGGAGGGAACTTTGTAAGTTGTTGAGTCAGAGTGAAAGAGAAAGAAAGTTCTTACTTGCCATCACCCAAGCTCTGGAGTCAGTCTTCCCCCATTTTCTCTGTTCTGACAGAGAGTTAACCTGTGTGGGATGCAGGACACACCAGAATGCAGAGATGTCTCCCTGTGGCACTGAGAGCATCAGTATATTAGGGCAGGGTTGGTCACACACAGCCCAGGGGCTTCCATAGTGACAGCTTTCCCATTTCAGTTGAGACTCCAAGCTTTTCTAAGAAGTGGAAAGTCACGTAGAGAAATCAGTTCCCATCCCAACACCAAATTCACTGAGTTTACCAGCATTCTTCCTATGAATAGCAAAATCATGTGCCTACTTTCATTCCCAAACATGTCCCGACTAAGTTTCAGAGCAATAGCTGACATTTTGTGTGCCCGCTAAGGATTAGGTAAATGAGGGAAGCTGATGGGCATGTTGTTATTTGTACTTTCAGTCCATTATTGGTTTAAAGCGAGGGTTAGAAAACTATGACCCCTGGGCCAAATCTGGCCCACTCTTTGTCTTTATATGGTACATGAGCTAAGAATGGATATGATGTTGTAAATGGTTGAAAAGAAAATCAAGAAATATGATTTAGCGATTTGTGAAAATTATATGAAATTCAAATTCAGTACTTGTAAACAGCCATTTCCATTATATACGTGTTATCTATGGCTGCTTTTGTGTCACGACAGCAGAATTGAGTGGTTGCGACAAAGACCATATGGCCTGCAAAACCTAAAATATTTATTATTTAGCCTTTTACAGAAGATGTTTGCCGACCCCTGATTTAAAATGATAAAGTAATTCCCACGGTGATATTAAATAGTACACAGAACCCTAACAGCCAGAAAGTGTTTGTGCCATTTCCAGAAGGGAAAAACACTAGAGAGAGAGTGCCACACAAGGGGAATTTATCTCATTAAAGAACAGAATTCCCAGGCCTGTAAAACATTTTGTTAAGTGGCTTCATTCAGCTGATAAAACCCTCCCATGCTTCGCTGGAGCACCCTGTTCAACAGGAGGGCTATAGACTGGGGAACAAAACTTCACTGTGCTGCCGGGCTGTTTTGCATCTGAGACATAGAGCAGGGAGCATTGTAGCTTCTGGATAAAGACAAGAGAGTACCAGATTGTAAGAAACCAGTGGCATTTTAAGTGTCATCTTGAATTCAAAGACCTAATTTTAAAATCTCATGTTGCACTGGTTCTTCATGTCCCTTTGTCAGACATTTCAACCCAAACAGTATATTTCTGGAAAACAATCACCTCCCCCTCTTTCGTACACATATTGTATTGCTTACACGTGAGAGGATCTCTGAAGTTTCTTTCAAATCCACTGGGGCAGGTAACCTCAGTAACTGTACCAAGTGCATTTAGAAAGTTCATGAATAATCTGTCTGTGAACAGTTATGTGTTAAAGAAAACTACTATTACTAAAGGAAATTGGGACCCGAATATTGTCATAAAAAGCACACACACACAACAACACATTTACATAATCAGATTTTTGCAATTCATGTGCCAATGCTTGCAATAACACCGGCCATGAGTTAATGGAGTTGCCCCTCAAATGCAGAGTCCAAACATATTTTAGGTAACCCTTTAAGAGACTTGGTATGACAGATTCTTACAGAGAACAACCAGAAATAAATAAATAAGCCTACGAACAGGGGAACAACTGTTTGCTGAACCTTGGCATTAAGCCAACAATCTTGATGTTTGCTCATTCAACACAAACTGGGTAAATACAGAGAGAAAACACCAATCTCAGGGCAATAACTCAGAGAATGGCAGCTTAACAGTAGATTTCGCTATAATAATCTCATAGAATTATAAGGCGTCCATTTACATCTACCCTTAAGAATCAGTTCTCAACTGTGTTTAGATATTATATAGGTCTAATTCTATGCTGAGCGCTTAATGGGGATGTGTAAAAGGAGAAACAATACTTGCTGAATGGCAGTTGGAAAAGGCAAGCTTGCTTTTTAGAAAGCTGTAACAACTCTTAAGGTTACACATGGCGATTTTCACACACTGATATTCTCACAATTAAAGAAAAGTAATATTTAAATGATTTTCACTGCTTCCAATTTTGGCAGTACGTGGGCACAAAGCACTGAGACTTTTCGAATTAGTGGTGTGATTTTTCCGTGCTGGCCTTGAACATATTGTTTGACGCTCCAGGGGAGTTTGGCTGCTTGAAGAACTGAAAAATGAGGGGAAGAACAAAGCTCTCTAAGAGACTTGAAGTTTTTTCTCTATTGGAATGTGGTGGAAAGAATGCTGGGCCAGATGGCTCCATTCTGGAACCGGCCCTGTTCTGGGCTAGCGGGCTGGCCTTGAGGAAGCCCTTTACCGTCTGGGGGCTGGATGAGTACCTACCCAATTCTTCAGATGGTGGAGCTTCACTCGGGGTGCTGGGTGCTTAACACCCCCTGGAGCTCTGCTTCTCGAGGTGCTGCACTGTGGCATCTGTTTTAGAATAACCTCTGCTGCTTGTCGTCAGTGCAGGTCCCCAGCAACGTGAACAAGCACATGGGATCAGAACCTCCAGGACTGCTGCCCCAGATTCTGTATTTTCACAAGCATCTCAGGTTATGGGCGGGCACGGGGGTGACTGCCATTGCAGAGAGCACAGTAGAGAAGAAGTTGGGCAGAGGGAGACTGACCTGGTTTCCCCTCTGACCTTGGGAGGTTATTGCACCCTCCTAGGAGATAATAATAGTGCCTACCTCCTAGGGTTATTGGGAGAATTAAATTTGAAAAAAAAAAAAAAAGGCCTGGAAAGTGCTTTCCTCACAGTACT